CATATTTTTTTGTTATTTATTTCCCTTTCTTAAAAAAAAATATACTTTTATTGATTTCAGAGAGAGGAAGGGAAAGGGAGAGAGAGATAGAAACATCCATGAAGAGAGAGAATCATTGATCAGCTGCCTCCTGCATGCCCGCTACTGGAGATTGAGCCCACAACCTGGGCATGTGCCCTGACTGGGAATGAACCGTGACCTCCTGGTTCATAGGTGGACACTCAACCACGGAGCCACGCCAGCAGGCACAACTCTATGAGATTTTAAAGCCAATTATTATCCAAGCTATTTTCTCGATAAATTTTGTAACAGGGATAACATGACCTTGACAACTTTTTAGGAGGCTGGAGGAAAAGGTGGCGGGAGGAGGGAGCAGGCCCCAGGCTTGCCAGCCACTTGGATTTAAGAGCGCCACATTCTTTCCTTACAAGGGGAAGGGCTGTATTCCTCCTGGTAGCTTCTGAAGGTATGACTAAAGGTGAGGCCACAGTTGAAGGGATAGAGGGAAAGGGTGGCATTGAGGATGCCTATAAGAAAGAGGTCTTGGGGACAGAGTAAGCAGCCCCTGTGTCTAAGAAGAATTTAATTGTCTTACCTGTCATGTCCAGGGTCACCTTGGGCTCCGTCCCTTCCATAGTGATGCTCTTAGTGGGGGCTGACTGGTGCGTTGGGCCCTGTCGTTCAAAGACATTGTGTGGTTAGGTTCTGGCCCCAGGGACCCTCCAGCCCCTGGGACAGTCCCTCTTCCAGCGACCGAACTTGTGGCAGAGGGGACACGGCCCCTGAGGTGACATATGGTTTAAAAGTGATTTGCCTGTTTCTGTGCGAGGGCTTTCTTGCTTTCTCTGCCCTGTCTCCATTGTTAAAACACTGGAAGTTATTCCTACCCGTTGCTCGGTGGGGGTCTGGGCTCCTAAGGCTAGTTTTTGGTAACTTTTTCCTATTGCCTAAGGCTGTTTGTGGGATGAAATGTATCCCCAAAAGTTCTCGGCCTTTAATAGACCTGAACAATTCCTTTAACAGGCGTTCGATTTATTACTTTCCTTAGAGATAACGTGCTAAGGTTTGGGTGAGGATGAGCTCTGCTCCTGGTAGTGGCAGGATTGGTGAGTTTTGCAAACAAGTGTCTGCAGTCTTGTTACAAAGAAAGGGTTAAACAGGCAACTGCTCTGTGGAGCGGGTGGATGTCAAGAAAGCAGGCTGCGCTGGCTTTGTGAGCGGCAGGCAGTTTGCTGGGCCTGTGAGGAAAGTTTCCATGAATCCGTTTGTAATTGTGGCAAAACGCACTGTATACGTTTTTTTGAAATCCCTAACCCGCTGAAGGGCTATAAGCATTAGCAAAACAAACTTCATAGAACAGTGTTACAATTCAGAGGTTTGTTCACAGGCCAGAATTCCCTGTCCCCGAGCGGGTATTGGGGCTGAATGAACAGCTGGGTCAGAGAGAAGTGAGGACGCGGAGGAAGGTTCAGAATGAAGAAGAAGAGCTTGGTAAGCAGTGCAGTCCTGACAGAGGGAAGGGCGACTACGGAGAAGCAAGAAGGCCTGGACGTAGGGAATCTCTGCTGTGGGGGCGATAGCTGTCTAAGGCAGTGAAGGTACTGAGATTGAAAGTGCCATTCCCAGGCCAGATGGACTCATTGTCACTTCGGGGCCAGGCCTGCTGCAGTAGAAAATGCGCCTGAAGGCTGTGAGGAGGAGGCACCCTGAAGGGGAGGGCTCTTAGGAGTAGGTTGCTGGTTCCCACAGTGGGTTGGTGTGGTGCGCGGGGGGGGGGGGGGGAGGTAAGTAAGAGATGAGTCTATCCCGGAGGTGAGAAGTCCGAAGGGAAGGCGTCCCAACCGTCCGAACAAAGCGCTGGAGAGAAGAGGGAGTCTGCCACTATGTTAGGGTGTCCCACTAACACAGGGTAGCCAGGGGCCTGGCTCCGGAAGAGTGGGCCCTCTGGCCCCCGTGGGCGAGGACTTTGGTGAGGCAAAAGCCGGCAAGGGAAGTAACTCTTAGTCACCAGAAATTCGAGGGGCCGACGTGGTCTGGAGAAGCCTGCAGCCAGGAGTGGGGGATCCCTTCAGGCCCCTCCGTGAATCCGGGTTTTGGCACCAAAATGTTAAGTCTGAGCCAACGGAAGTCAGGCCAAGAGACATTGTGAGAGTCTGAGAAATTGTATTACATTCTCCCACGGCGGCTGAGGACGGTGTGTCGGTGTGAGCACCGAGGGGTGGTTATGTTCTTATATAGGGACTGGGTCATAGGAAGTACAGATAATGGGGCACACGCCCAGGTTGTGGGCTCAATCCCCAGCAGGGGGCAAGCAGGAGGCAGCCGATCAGATTCTCTCTCATCACTGATGTTTCTATCTCTCTCTCCCTCTCCCTTCCTCTCTGAAATCAATAAAAAAAAAAATAAATTTTTTTAAAAAATAGGAAGTTAAGCCAGCCAGAGAGTGTCGGTCTGCAGACTGAAGAGTCCCAGGTTCAATTCTGGTCAGGGGCACACGCCCAGGTTGTGGGCTCAATCCCCAGCAGGGGGCGTGCAGGAGGCAGCCGATCAGATTCTCTCTCATCACTGATGTTTCTATCTCTCTCTCTCTTCCTCTCTGAAATCAATATAAATAAATAAAGTAAGTAAGTAAGTAAAATACATTGATTAGACAGACTGTTCTTTCAGGTAAAAACGTTGATTCAGTGCTTCCGTTACTCCCCGATAGCCTCGTCATGCCCAGCTGCCTGTCACTTCTACTGTGTTCTTTCCTGGCCTTTCTCTGTGCTGCTTCCTCTGCCTTGGAAGTCCTCCTGTTTCTTCACATGCAGTGGAATCGGAGGGTTGCCTCTCCAGGCCTCAATGCTCTCCTGCTAGTAACCAGTTGGAGAGACTGGAAACCGACATGCCCCAGACTCCCATGCACCTATGGTCCGCATGGAAATACGTTCAGTCAACCAGGTGCGCTCTTGAAAGATTTGCCAGGAGAAGGCATCATCCTGTCGTAATTGCTGCTGGCAAGCCGGGTTTGAGAAATAATGTGAATAGGCATTTAATGCTGTTGGAGCCACCGTCCTGCCTCAGTGACAGTCGCCAGTGGCAGAGGTGTGAAGAGCGGCTACAGCAGCAGCACCATCCTGGTTTCTGGAACATAGCCCTGCAGGGGGCCCCTGAACTCCAGAGCCCAGGGGTAGCTCCCGGACTTCTGCGCCGCAGGCTGTCCCAACAATTGTGTAAGCACCTGCTTAACATACCTAGAGTGGCTTCTGTTTCCTGCACTAAATCTTGACTGAGAGGTCACCTACTCAGATTCGGCCTCCCAAGCACAGCCGGGGTTCCCCTGATCCAACAGGCTGGGCTAGGGTCCCCTCTGCACTCCCCTCATGCCCTGCTGGTACGCCCGAGCCTCTTCGTGTTTCCACCCCTGGCACCAGTGCTTGGCTCACAGCATGTACCGCGTCAGTGTTTACTGAACTGAAACTTCCTGTGCCAAGATACCAGGTAGGTTCTGAAATCCGGTCTAAGGAGCATCCTACCTCACGCCTGATGGGCGAAGCCCAAAGAACGAGCTGGCGCTAGACGTATGCTGGATTCCAGGTGGACCCAGAGCCTGCAGCTGCTCCACACTTTAGCCCCCTCAAACACTAGAATTGAAGATTCAACCTGGTCCCCAGGAAGGGAACGCTAATGAACGAGGGACGTTGTTTATCTCAATATTTACCCTCTGGTGGTTCTCAGGTCCCTCTACTGCTGGGACTGCAATGAGGCCTGCACCCCATGACAACACAGGTGTCGGCGTTAGGAAAACCCAAGTTGGAAGGTGTGTGACCGTGGGTAACAAGTTATTTAACTTGTCTGAACCTCAGTTTCTTCACCTATAAATGGCGATAATGCCCTCGCTGGTTTGGCTCAGTGTCAGCCTGAGGACTGAAGGGTCCCGGGTTCGATTCTGGTCAAGGGCATGTACCTCTGTTGCAGACTGGATTTCTTGTCTAGAGGTGTCTGGTCAGGGCTCGTGTGGGAGGCAACCAATCAATGTGTCTCTCACACATTGATGTCTCTCTCTCTCTCTGTCTCTCCCTCCCCTTTCCGCTCTCTCTAAAAATCAATGAAAAAATATACTCAAGTGAAGATTAACAAAGAAATAAAAACATAAAATAAAGTGGTGATAATAACATCAACCTTACAGAACTCTTGGAAGTAAGAGATTATATGTCTAACATGCTTAGCACAGTATGTGCACATTGAAAATGCTCCCCCCCCCCCCATCAGTTGCTGTTATTATGGTCGTCATTGTTGTTAATGTTACCATCACTGGACCACAATTTTGTTGCTACGTAATTTTTTCTACATAAATTTCCAGCCCAGATTCCCACACAATTAGATTAGAATGCACTTTTTTCATACCTTCTCCTGAGGTATTCCATATTACATGCTGAGGTAATTAACCCCTTTTGCAGAAGGTGCAGCCAGGCCCAAGTGTGGGGCTGTACTGAGGAAATAAGAAAACCATCTATGTCAGTGGTTCTCTACACCAGCTGACAGTCAGAATCACCTGGAGAGTTAAAGCAAAACCGCACCAAAACAAACAAACGAAACCAAAAAACAGTGTCGGGGGCCCTAAACCGCAGATTCTGATTTAATAGGTCCCAAGCACCAGGGTTTCTTAAAGTTCCCAGGGCGACTGTAATGTGACGCTGAGAGCCACTGCCCAATATGGGAAAGATTAGTTAGTACTTCCATTACGCCCCCCCCTTGGGGGAGGGGGGAGAGAAAAAAGCGTTGACTTCCTACAATCGCCACCACCATGGGGGATGGGAGAAGACTGAAGATTACAGTTGAATTATTCCACTTCTAATGTGAACAAGACAGTCCCACTATGAACCTGGACAAATGATTCATCATGCTAATCCTCTGGTTAGTGTCTGGGTTTCCTGTCTAGAGGTGTCTGATTTGATGAGGACTCATCAGAAGCGCTCCCGGATATGTATGGAGTGAGCCTGAAAGTACCTGTGAGGGACCGGTGTTGGCTCACAGGTGTCTGTCCTGTGCCAGGGCCATGCGCGCCCTTGGGCTGGCTGCTGCTGCCAGGTGCATGCACTTTGATCCAGGGCAAGTGAAATGATCCCTGCTTTGGCATCAAATTTAGCTGGTATCTAAACACTAGTGACAGCTGGGAGTGTGCTCAGACACAAAGTAACATCTAAAAAATGTAACGATGTTTTCATTATTAAAATAATACACAAAAGGAAATATACAAGATTGGGAAAACAGAAAAGTAGAATAAACCAGGGTAGAAAACAACAGCAACAACAACAAGAATAATAACTAAGACCTATATAGACAGACTTACCAGGTGCTAGACAAGGCTCTAAGCCCTTTGCCTTATAAATTCATTTACCCCTCAATACGACACTAGGAGATAGATAACTATGTGTATTTCCATTTTACAGATGAGGAGAGAAGACCTGGGGCTGTTAGGTGACTTGCCCAAGGTGGCACAGCTATGAAAGGCAGAGCCAAGGTTTGGACTCATGCTGCAGTGAACAGGGTATGGTCAACCTCAGATACAGCTCTCATAAGGTAAGCTGTGTTCAAGGGCTCAATGCCAATTGCTAAAGTTTAAAACATTAATCTCAGCCCGGCCAGCATGTATCAGTGGTTGAGCATCGACCTATGAAGCAGGAGGTCACAGTTCAATTCCTGGTCAGGGCACATGACTGGATTGCGGGCTGGATCTCCAGGAAGGGGCGTGTAGGAGGCAGCCTATCAATGTTTCTCCCTCATCATTGATGTTTCTATCTCTCTCTCCCTCTCGCTTCCTCTCTGAAATCAATAAAAAAATATATAATTTTTAAAGTTAATCTCAGTTGTCATTCATTCATCCATTTGTTTCACAACCTTATTGAAGGCATCTCATCAAGACCGTTCCAGGCTTGCTTACTGAGATATTGACGAGTATGAGTATACACAGACTACTGCTTATTCATTCCTATAGCATTGAACTCTCAACTGTCTCAACAGAGTAACACATATATAATCAATACAAATCTAGTAAAGATTAAAAATGCTGCAACTATTTCCTGATGACAGAGTCCAAAACCGACACTTCAAAACTTTTGGAATGTCACACACTTTGTAGATGGGATGGCTAGTTAGCATCATTGTCTGTATTTTCATCAGTTATTTAACTCACTTTGGACAAAAATTTAAGTTGAATTTCATGAACTAGGCTTTGTAGAAACATGTTTAAGATAGCAGTTGCGCCTTCAACTCAGCAATTGGTGTTTTTTGGATGATGGATGAATGGATGGATGAAAGGCTATCTGAGTAAATTAATAGACTAGAATATTTGGCAACGTTCTGGGTGCTTAAAAATGCATCTTAAAAATAGTTTAGTGTTGCCCTGCTGGCGTGGCTCAGTGTTTGAGTTTTGACCTATGAACCAGGAGGTCAAGGTTCAATTCCCGATCAGGGCATCCCCAGTGTGGGGCGTGCAGGAGGCAGCCAATCAATGAATCTCCCTCACATTGCTGTTCCACTCTCTCTCTCCCCCTCTCCTTCTCAATAAAAATATATTTAAAAATAATTTAGTGTCATCTAGCTTGATAAATAATAAATTATGACTCAGGAGAAATTTTTTATTTCTATGCTTTCCAATGACTGAATAAGTAACTTCAGGCAAGTCATTATGGGGCCAGTTATATCTGGTTGTTGTAAGGATTAAATTAGTTAACATAAACGAATTATTTACTACCCTGCCAAATACATGTTAAATAGTCAGCATATTTTAAACTGCCTTTAAATTGAAGCAATATACCAGTATATTTTAAAAAGCAAAAATTCAAATGTACAAAAAGCTATGCAATGCAAAATAAGTCTCTTTTGGCAAAGTTTTCTGCTGTTATGACTACTATAGAGACCTCCAAGCAAAAATAACATTTCACTATTATTGATTAAGCAGAGATAGCTTTACCAACCAGTAGATAACATCATTTGAGTCGGAACGATGTGAAATAACACAAGTATTCTGGCTAAATTCCAGTGGGAGTGATTAACATTCTCCAACTTCAAATAATTTTTATTATTAGCCAAAACTTGTTCATCCCCAATAAGACACACGTTGCATAAAGGGCATAGAAAGAGACAGCCCTCCCCTGGCATGTCCACCGTCCATACTTTCCACTGAGGGGTTCCCTTTCTTTTTGACCGCTATTCCATGGCTTTTCAACGGCCACTACTTTCAGCCCTGGCAAGTTTGTCCACCCAGAGTGCCAAGTATTTCCAAAAAACAAAAGAGATAAGATAGGAACACCTGTAGAAAGATGTAATGTCCACGGAAAACATATTGACTAATGGTTTTGATGTTTGTAACGCTATTGGTATTTATTCCTTTTAACTCTAAGGCTGGGATGAATACACATATTCCTCATGGTTTCCCACAAAGCCTTGTTGATAAGTGGGAGGGAGAGGGTTATTCTGCCATTTAATCTCTCAATCTGTACAAAATGGAATCCAGGACACAAGAACAATACCCGCGGCCTATCTCACCCCTTCAGTCCAGTCCTGAGTCCTTCAAGTTCCCTGGCCCTCCAGCCTTTTTTCACCACCTTCCCAGAGGAAGAAGTGGGGGAGTGGGAAACAATTCAGGCCCTCTTTGTAAGCGTCTGAATGAATTTCAAGTATGCTAAACACCTCCGTCTTCCACCTAATTAGAACACGTAGAAAAAGAGGCATTTTTAGGACATTTAAAACCGGCAGCATAAAGACCCATCTGGAGAGCGCCGCTGTGTGTCTCCGCAGTGGGAGCGCCCAGCAGGTCTCCCTCGGGCGGCGGCTGCCCCGTGCGCCCCCGGCCCTCGGCGGCTGCTGCGGGCAGCTAAGCAGCCTGCAGCCCCCAGGGGGCCCAGCGCCCTGCCCATTACAGAGCCCGGAGCCTGCGTTGCTTCTCTCTGCGGGGAACTGCCTGGGATTTTAAACCTCTAATAAAGGATTAACATCTCGCGTCTTGCAAAAACAGGGGGAAAAATCACTTGCTTGTCACAACCAGATGATTTTGTTAGGAAATGCCAGTAAAGGTTGAAACCTTGGAGATGCCTATTGTCCACAGGGGGAGTGGTTAAAAGTGTGGATGCCGCAGCCCAATTACCTAGGTTCGAATACGGGTTTGCCATTTGAGCGCCTATCACGTGCCAGGCGCTCGGAATAGCTCTGGGAACAAAATGGGGCTGAGGTTTTCTTGGGGAACTAGCATTCGCTCGGATACCTTGATTCAGTTTCCTCACCTGTAAGGAGTACCCGCCGCATAGAACTGTTGCAAGGGTCTGAGATCTTGTATTCAGATGGAAACGATTAACGCGCGGTCTGGCACACAGTAGGGGCTCCGCAAGCATTCGCTCTTCTCTGGACGTGAGCTCACCTGGTATGAGGACAGCACGGAGGGGAGACAGGTGCACGGTTAAGAGTGACTCTTTGAGCGGTTCTTTTAAACGAGCGCTGGACGCGGTAGGAATGCTTAGCTGCGGAGAGGAGCACTGGTAGGGGCCCTGGGAGCAAAGGTTCTGCAGCCAGGACGTTGCAGGAAAGGGAGCCCCGCACCGTGGGCGGCTGCAGACAACTCCCTGGAACTTCGAGCTTAGCGTTTCCCGCCCCGCGTCTCAAGAAGGCGTGATTAGCATTCGCTCCGCCCCTGTCGCTTCCCGCACCGCGATTGGCCCGCGTTGTTCGGCTGCCCGCTCGGGGCGGGGCCGCAGGGCGCCGGAGGAGAGGCCACGC